GCTAGCGCTGACACTATATTGCCTTATATATATTAGCTCGGTGCTACCGCGAACAACAAGCTAAACTGAGGTCCTCCATCCATATTTTCAGATGCAGACTGAGTCATTTTTGCGTTCTCCCGTCATGTGGATGGAGGACCTCGGTGACGAGAGGAGAATGTTTAGCACTGAGCTCTGGTTTCATTTAAAAGAGCCAATTGTCAGATATTGTCCAAGATTAACCTTCAGGGTGGATATAGCTCGCTCACACCGAGGACCTATCCACATCATCATTTACCCAGAATGCTTTGTGTGTAAATAAAGTGGCTCTGTCCGTGTAACATATTTTTAAACTTTGTTTAAAAATGATAAAAACTAAACAGCCTATAGTATTTTTACAGTCTTTATTTTACAAATAAAGTCTAATGTTATAACTAATCATGGATCCCTTAAACAACGAGACGTTACTCTCCTGTAAACACAGAAAGCAACCTGAGCTCAACAGAGCGTGTTTGAGAGTAATWTATCAGTGGGAGAGTCTCACCTTTCCTCCTGAGCCATTCCTCTGTGGATGGCGATAGCTGGGAAGTTCTGTTCCACCAGGAGCTGAGACAGAGCGATGCATCGCTGCACTGACTTGACAAAGATCACCACCTACAGGTAAAGCAGAGGAACTTACACACCAGACATCTTTTTATTTTCTTCTTCCTGTAGATTTTTTGGCACTAGTCAAATAACTTCAGGTGTCAGCCAGAAACGTGTTTGGGGATTTTATGTTAGTTTGCTGAGTGGTGAGACCAGAGAGAATTGAGATGTTTCCATGGATATCTGCCCGTCTTTCACTGCCTCCTGCAGCAACGCACTACAAGTATAACGAACAATTTTATAAAGTGCTGTAAATTATTTATCATAACTCTGTTTTTACTTGGCATAAAGCTTGAAGTCTGTAATTTTGACACAAAATGGATCAGATTCTTGTAGAATTCTTATCTTTCTCACTAGATTGATTTAATCAGTGACGTCACTAGAACACGCCAGCATCCAGGGACTCCAGGGGTTTAAGTGTCATCATTAATAATCACCAGCTAAATGTCACAAATAACCGTGATTCATTTTTTTTCCACCAATGTCGTTCAAACCTAATTTTCACTAAGCATCAAACTCGCATATTTATTTAGCATATTTTTACCATTTAAAGTATTACATTTAGAAAAATCCATTTAATGACTTATTGCTTTTTAAAGTCTTGCAGAAACCTCAGAATGTTCTGTTGCTGTTTTATATACAATGTGAAACAGTCTGCTTACTCTAAAACTGAAAACAGGGTTCCCACACCTTGGTCAACATCAAATTCAAGACCTTTCAAGGACTTTCCAGCATCAATTTCCTCAAATTGAACCACGTGCAACGGCAACTACCTACTGCTACCACAGAATGTAACCAATAAACATGTTTAATATCATGTAAATTCAATGAAAAACTGAACAACATGGAAGTTGTTGAGTCATAAACAATGACGTCAGTTTACCGTAATCCTGAGTTATCCACCTCAACAAATGTAAGTTTTTATTTTAATTTAATTTTATAATTTACTTTTAAAAGATGATGAAAATCAGTCGTGAGAATAGAGAATTTCCCCCCACAAAAAACATTCAAGGACTTTCAAGGACAAGTGTAATTTTTGGCTGTTTTCACAAACTTTCCAGGGCCTTGAAATATTTTTTTCAAATTCACAAACTTTCAAGGACCCGTGGGAACCCTGTGAAAAACACTAAAAACCAAATTTCCTATGTTTCAATAGTGCATAGGAAGCCTGTACATATTCAATGATTCTCATGTTTAATTTGAGATTCAACACAAACTCCAACACTAACATGTCTCACRCTCAACAAATTACCTGATTAAACTCTAACACGTCAAGAAGATCAAAGAGCTTGCGGTTCTTCTCGCTGTCTTTCAGCTTGCAGTAGTACTGCTGCAGACCGTGGAGTGTGAGTTTGGTCTCGTCATCCACAAACACCTCCATAGGCTATAGATCAGAAATCACAGCTTAAGCAGCGAGTTWAAGAAAGAACACATTAATCAAACAAATAGAAGCTGATTTTTTCTTTACTTACATCCTGCATGAACTTGCGGCAGACTGGTCGGATCTCCTTACTCAGTGTCGCGCTGAACATCATGACCTGCTTCTCGTGGGGCGTCATCCTGAAGATGTCCTGCACGTCGCGCCTCATGTCTGCCACACAAACCAACACAGAGCATCAGCTCTCTGAGTCCGCTCAGCGGGCCATCAGAATGAAAGAGGAGAACACACCTAGCTGCTCCAGCATCTTGTCGCACTCATCCAGAACAAAATGCTTGACATTTTTCAGGCYGAGGGTCTTGTTGCGGATCAGAGCGAGGATTCGACCAGGCGTCCCGACTACGATGTGAGGGCAGTTCTTTTTCAAGGTCTCCTCGTCCTTTTTGATGGCCATGCCGCCGAAGAACACGGCTGCCTTCACGGTGGGCATGTACTTGGAGAAACGCTCGTACTCTTTGCTGATCTGGAAGGCCAGCTCTCGCGTGTGGCACATGACTAATACGGACACCTGGAGAGGGGGAAGGAGGAGGGAGAGGGTCATGTATTTGCTATCCTGGACTTGTGGAATAAATAAAAAAAGAAAACACACTAACCTGCCCATCAACAGGTTCGATCTGTTGCAGTGTGGCCAACACAAACACAGCTGTCTTACCCATACCAGACTTGGCTTGGCACAGGATGTCCATCCCAAGGATAGCCTGTGGGATGCATTCATGCTGAACTGAAAACAACAAGAAACATTGTCACCATTTTTATCATGTGTAAAGAAATCACTACAAGCTTCTGAAAAGAGCAATGGTTCAATTCTGGGATTACAGATGAAATGTAGGTTTTATTTAACTAAAATCTTTGTCAGTAAAACATTAAATGAAAGACTACAGTTTTGATCATCAGTGAGTCAAATAGGAAACAATTGCAATAGCTTAAAGCTACCTTTATGTCAAAGTTAGTCATGCTCTCTTACTTTACAAAATGACATTTTTTTTAACTTTTTCACAAAACACCAGTAAGGTAATTTTTTGACAAAAATCTGGAATGTTTTTTGATGTGTAACATGAAAGTTTTAGGTATTTTGCAAAAACATTACATTACATTTTCTGACTGAAACAATTTTAGTTGTATTTTGTCAATACTGAACAATGACAGTAAATTTCTCTACTTTAGGTTTTAAAAAAGGGGGTTACACTATAAAAACCCTTTGTCCAGAGAAAACCTTGTAGACATTTCACAGCTTCTCTGAGAAGAATAAACCATATGAAAAAAATCTTGCACCACATCATATTTTGTACAACAAAGCTGCCAGCAAACAAGTTCAACAAGGGCAGGAACCTCAATGCTAAAGAAAAATGTAGGTGTGTGAGACTCCAGAAATGTTCCTGTTAATCCCTAAATCCACCCAGTCTCTGTCACGTCACTACAGAATAGGGTTGGGCGATATTGGCAAAAAAAATTAATCACGATTAATTGTGGTGTTTGGCCGGTAACGATTAATTTGATGATTAATCCCCTGGAGTCCCTGGACACCTTTATGTCCTAGWCACATGACCAATTTAGTGGAAAAGATTTGCTCTTCGTAAAAAAATTTTTCAAACTGTGTCAAAATCACAGACTTCAGGCTGTACTTCAAATTTTAAATTGTGTTGATAAATAAATTACAGAACTTTTGTTTAAATGTTCGTCATATTTGAAGYGGAGAGGAGCACCGAGCGGACTGACCGGGGAAATMTCCAGTCAGTCTGCCTGGTGGCATTAATCAWATTAATCGTCAAGTGCCAAAAAATAATCGATTAATGTTTTTCTGACGATTAATTGCAGACAATACGATTATGCCCAACCCTACTACAGAACAAGCCGACAGGGAAAAAATGACAAGAAGCTTGAAAAAAGCACAAGAGCCAAATCACTGCTTGTTTGATAAAGTTCATATAATGCAAATAGATGGAGCATGTTACACTTTTATCACGTGGCTGGATTTATATCAGTTAGGTTTGGGCGATATGGACATAAAAATGTATCACGATTAATTGTAGCATATAGCCAATAACTATTAATTTGATAATTAATAAATGACAATTGCACTGGCATGTGGTCAGAGTTCTGGCTTTTCTCATACCCCTGTTTATGTCGGTGTTTCAGGTGATTAAACACGTTTCTAGTGTTAGGGTTAGTGTYAGCTGCTCTATGCTACCTTCCATCATCACACGCGCAACTGAGAGTGATGGTGTGTCGTACACAAAAATCTGTCATCATGCAGCGGTCATTGTAGTCATTGCAAAGTGGTATATAATAATTGATGACAGACAAGTAATTGCACACAATACAATTTTGCCCAAACCTACACCAATCACATAATTGTATTCAGAGGATGTCAGCAGTGAAGTGATTTATGTTTMAATGATGTAGAAATTTTCAGAGTACCTCAAGTTTGAGTTGATCAGTGTAAAATAAGATATATTTGAGAATGAAGTTTTACATAGAGCTACAAGAATACACAGCCAATCAGCATATTTGAACAAAATCATTGGAGGGAAAAAAGAAAAAAGCTTGTTCCCAGCAATAAATTACTTATATGATAAAAATGAAAAAGGTAATGACAACATTTCTCTCTTAAACATGTAAAAATTCCTGAAAACACAGACGACAAAACTATTTTTTTGAATATTTGTTTAATGAAATAATTTTTCACAAAAGAACTGAAATAAGTTAATTTCTCAATTAGCAGCTATTTATTAAAAATAATTAGTATCTACAACATGGTGGCTTCTAGAATCTCTAATACTAGAGCACAATGTATAAACATGCTCCAACAAGGACTGCCCTCATTTCACACTGAAATCACTTAACTCAGAAATAAACAGGGACACTTACTAAAATATAACCCACCAAAATTTGTGCCCACGACTTTAAGCGATTCCTCGAGATACTCCCCAGCTATTTGTGTCTAAATACTAAATATGTAGTAAAGAGTACTGTCACAGAAAATATTGTGTTGATGTTGTGAACTCTTAGCTGATGTGTTGGATTCATCTTTGACTAGTTAATATGCAGTWACAATTAGAAATACGGTCAAGGAATGAAAATACTACATACAAACAAAACACTACTCATACTACTACCACTACCTATACCTATACACTGATGACTTGTGTTTATCTTTAACAATCACTCCCAGTTCTTACTGATTTTGCCAAAAGAAAAACACAGGAGAAACAGTAGGTCTACCTCTGATTCACGCAAAATGGTCCTGAAAAACGGCACCATTAATCTCTTTCAATGGGCACTGTGGACAATCTTGCGTCAGTTTCTGACACGTTAAAAAAACTATGTTTGATCACTTTATTACTGATCGATTAGTGACTCCTGAATGCTCACACAACTTAAACATCCATATGCTCACCTTCAGATGGATGTTCAAAACCACAGTCAATGATGGCTCTGAGCAGCTCTGGTTTGAGAAGGAAATCTCTGAAGCCGGAGCTGTGGATGGACACGTAGGAACCCTTCACCTCTTTCTTTCCTGCAGGAGTTGTACTCTCTAGAGCTCCTTGGGGCTCTTCATCTTCTTCATAGTCGAGCAGCTCGTTATCAACGTCATTCTCAGCCATTGTGTGTTTTTTTCTGAAACACAGGAAAGTTTGTTATTGTTTTCTATTAGTTTATTTTTTAAATTTAGTAATAGCAACAACTGCGATGCTGCACACCTCTACATTTTTGTTAGAAAAGACCTGACGGAGATTTGCGTTGTCTAACCATGGCCCTGTAGCTCCCTGTAGTAACGCTAACATCCTATTGTTGTAAGAACACAAATCAACCAAGATCTCACAATGAAGTTCATTTTGATGTAAACTGTAAAAATATCTCTAAAACATCTAATAGACATAATTACAAACAAATAAGTTTACCCATAAACCGGTCGAGAGCTAGCTTTGGATCAGTGAAAAGTCATTGTGTTGCATAAGCGCCGCTAACGTGTCGAGCTAACACCTGAACAAATTTTACGACACAATTACGAGACGTCTAAACTGTACCCGAAATAAGAGCAACTAATAAAAATAGAAGATGTTAAGAGGTGAACAGAAACACTCTAATTTTGATCAGAATAACAAGTATAAGAAAGCTCTGCCGATCTGCTAAGCTAACCGATGCTAGGCTACATAACCTTAGCTTTCACCGGCAGTTCAAACTAACAATACAGTTTTGCTTTAAATGACCAGCCTTTAACTAAACTAAATTAAAAACAACCCTTAACTTCCACATCAATAAGAAGTGCTTCAAAAAAGATATGAAAAATCAACAATAAAGCAATATTAAACCTCTTACTTTTACGATTGTAATTTCGAGTGCACTGGATCAAAACCGCATGTGAAGGCCTCAGTTGGTTTATACCCCTAACCGGAAGTCCCGCCTCTACACAAAATAATACACTGATATGATTGGTGGAGTTGTACAACCACAACTACTGATTGGACAAAAAGTCTTGCGCAGTTTCGAAAAGCGGGATTGATCGACGCACACGACGCGGAACGTAGGGTATGGGAACTCGTAAAAGACATGCCAAGTTCATTTACGCGTTTACGGTGTATTTAACAACAACACAGATTTTAACTGCATTATTTTACTAAGGTACTGTACAAAAAGTAAATTATAAATTTAGTAAATAATTAAGAAGAAAATTATTTAATACAATAAAAATACAATATCAACAAAAAAGTGTATACAAAATGTAGCACAATAAAAATCAAGACGTCCTGCTCAGCTATAAACAAACTAAATATAAACTATAAATAAATATGAAAAACTACAAATAAAACCAATGAAGACAAGTAGTTTAAAGCAGAGTTTTGAAGCAATCAAAAGTTTGAACAGCTTTAACTAAAGATGAAACTGTTCCACAAAGTTGAGACTACTGCTAAAAAAAATCTGTCTCCTTTGGTTTTGCAATTAAAAAAATGAAACTGTCAAAATTACCTACTACTTATTTAACTACGTGTTACACAGTGAATTGTAATATATTACCAGGTAGGCTAAGTGCTACGATAAAAACATTCCTCCAGACAAGTAAAAATTGAATTCTTAGATTTTATTCAGTAGCTAATTACCACACAAGACATGCAGGTTTGTACAATGTTGTATTCAACCTGTACATAAACAGCTAAAAAGTAATGCAATATTACCACATAATACACACCGTATTACCCTGTAAGAATAAGGAAACTGGACTGTAAAAGAAAGCCAGACTTGTTGATTACATTTTAAACAGTTATTGCCATGTAACTCATGCAGACTTTCTATTTAACCTGTTCATAAACTAGTATAGCAGCCACTTGTAGTTATTGGTGTTTTGGGTATAGTTTGGGTTCTTCTTATTTTGTTTTCATAGTTCAGTTTGGTGGTGGCAGTGTTTGTTTATATATGGATTGACACTTTGACCTATATTTTCGCTCTACCACTGGTGGCAGTGTGGAAGGAAATCTAGGTGTCAAGGTGAGAAGGAAAGTGAGGGYGTAGGGAGGTCACACAGTTTTACCGCTCTCTATTAAATGCTACTTAACCTCTCTCATATTCACATTTTTACCACAATTTCCATCCATTTTGCATGCTGCCATAGACAGCCACTCTGGACTTTGTAACACTCAATATTCAAAAATTATATAATAAATGGGAGCTGTATCTCCCAGTCTGGACATTATAGTCATTGGAGCGCGTCAAAGGCCTGGATTCCACCGCTCACAGAAGCAACTAAAAGGTTGGATTTGATGGTCGCTACACAAATTAAAAACCCAACATTTTGGATTAAAGGATGCGCAACTTGAGGACTTCTCACTTGGAAAAGTTTGTCCCACGCCCATCTGTCTGGCTCATCTACAACAAAACAGAGCTTCATTCAVCCATCCATCCCTGTCATCAAGTAAGATTGATCAAATAATATCAGGCTCGATTACCATTCAAGACATCTTTGGTAAGTGCAATCATCCTTATTAAAATATGACRTGATGGACTGGCTTTATAATGTGCTGTGGCATTCGGCCCGCAGCTTTCCAGACATGGTGCTATAGCCTGGCAAACGGCTAATGATATTTTGTTGTTTTTATTCAGTCACATTTCAAAGTGTGGATATTAAACAAGTACTCATTTAAATGTGTTTCTGCCTTGTGTTATACTTGGAGCGTTTAGGTGCACGCAAAAGCCGATTAACGCAGCTTGTTTTGTTGATTCACAGTTGAAAATAAGTGATTTGAATATTGAAATTGAGCCTACGGGCACACAAAGTGAAAAAAAAGGCAAAGAAAACTTTCATTAAAAAGGAGCTGCCCTTGCTTTTGAAAARTCACATAAGAAAAGAAGTGAACTGTTTAGAAATGCAAGTAAAATAAAGTCGAAAATAATAAAGCTTTGGTTGCCAAATAAAATTGTTTCTGAGGTGAAGCAATGTATGCAAAGGTTTAATACGCTGTGTGAAAATGTGTCTAAACTTCACAACTCGTTAAAGGATTTCAATTTGCCTGAGGATGAACAGCAAAAACAAAATGCTTGGTTTCAAGAGAAAAGTTTGGCAAATACTGAGTTTGTGAATAAAGTGCGTATCTGACTGAAAGAAAGAGAAGAAGAGGATGATGTCTGTGAAAATGCGCGTGATGAAATTGCTGTTGATAATGTTCAAACAGAGAAACACCAGAATGATGAAGGTGTAAATCCTGATAGTGTCTCAAATATAAGTGTGCGCTCTAAACGCAGCTATGCATCCAGCACATCCTCCGCTTGTAAACAAGCCCTGGCTGATCARGCAGCTTTACTGGCGAAAGCGGAAGCTTTAAAGAAGAAATGTGAATTGGAGGAACAAGAGCAGAGACATAGATTGGAAGCTGATAAAATATGACAACAAAAGGAGCAGGTGGAAATAGAAGCGGTACTGTAGCTGCTGCTGCTGCTGCTGCTGCTGCTGCTGCTGCTGCTGCTGCTGCTGCACGTCTTTGTGTGTTGTTGGGAGGCAGTAGCATTGGAGGAAAATCCAAATCAATGTCCGACTCCGATGGGATGAACTCTTACGTCAGCAAAGGACTTAAACATCAAAGGTGCACTGAATTCAACCCACAAGCAAAAGAATTTGTGCTTGAGCTCCTTGTCCTTCACTTTGCTTYGTACGAGGAAGTGGAAGGTATTAGTGAATGGAAACTAGGATTGAGCGGAACTGCGTAGGAAGGCAAGGGCCAGAGGGGTTAGGGGAGTCATCCTGGACCGGACGGTCGTCGATTTGATCCCTCGTCCAGCTGTCTCAGTTGTTGTGTCCAACTGGGCAAGACACTTCACCCCTAATGCCTCTGATGTGTGTCCCATCAGTGTATAAATGTGATTGGCACTGATTAGTCTCCTTATATGATTGTACATGTTAGTTTTGTAGAGACCTAATAGAGTGCTGTGTGAATGGGTTTGAGTGTCCTGGATTGATAGAAAAGTGCTATATAATTACAGTCAATTTACCAACTGCCAAAAAAGAAATCAAGAGGAAGAAGATTTACAAAGCTAGACAGGAGGGGGATGGGCGTGAGAAGCTCGTTCATGAAAATGATTGACACCTGTGAGACAAACCTTTGATTGGCTCATTTTCCTCAGACTGAGGAAAAAATGGCTGCAGGACCACCGGGAGGAGCCAGAGGACTTTGTTTTTTTTCAGAGATTATCTGTCTATTATAATATGTCAGGACATAGTGACAATTTTAACAAATTTTAACAAATATGCAAAAAGTATGTTTTTTAAAAAGCTACATACTGTAACTTTGTCTGAATCTGTCTAAAAGGTGCTGAATTGTAGATGGAGAGGTTCAGACCTATACATTTGGTAGCACACATTTTGTAAGAATTTTAAAAAAGTGGAAACAAACATTTTAATGATAAAGCATCAATTAGAAGAAAGCATATTACAGCATGATTAGAATATTTAGTTACTGAGGATTATTAACATATTTAAACACATTTTGAAAATAATTTGGACAACTCAACATGTTCATTTACTGGAAACACAGCAGCTGCTGAGAACCGACTCCCTGGTGCTCTCAGGACAACCCCTAAACTTAATGGTTGACCAGGTTTTTTTAAAATCAAAGCATTGTGCAGTACAAAATAGTAGTAAAAAGGTGGCTCAGTTGGTAGAGTTGTTGCCTTTCAACAACAAGGTTACAGGGACCTTTAGAGTGCCTGTGTGGGTTTTCTCCAGGCATTTAATTTTTTTTCTCACAGACCAAAAACTTGACTGTTAGGCTAATTGGTAACTCTAATTGCTTCTAGGTGGTAGTGAGAGAGTGAATAGTTCCTCTCATTTGTCTCTATGTGTGCCTGTGATGGACGGGGGACCTCCAGGTGTACCCACCCCTCACTGGATGTGGGCATCAGTGACCCCCCTCCCCCTTCCCCCGACCTTGAAAGGAAGAAGATAAAGACAATAGATTAATAAACAAAATGGATGGATGGATATATTCAATGAAAGAAGAAGGGGCTTTAGAAGAAATAACAGCTCAATACACCAAATGTCTAATTTCTGTGGGGGGAAAAATTCAATACATAAAACGTAAATTAAAATACATAAAAATACTCAGTAAAGGGTTTTAAAATATTTTCTATTAAAAAAAAGGGATAGACTCAAATTTACTGAATATTCTATTAACTTTCAAGTCATTTTTCAAGTGTTTATTGTAAATTAACAGTTAAACGTGTGTACAGTACTTGAGTGGTAAAAATCTTATTATGAATTATTACTATATTCTCTAACTAAACATTAATGGATCAAACACACACACACACACACACAC